GCTCCAGTCTGCCCATGGTGGAGGCACTAGCTTACTCTTTGCTTCCTTTCATGCTGTTTAAATGAACCCTTTTACAGCTGGAGTCCCCACCCCCCACCCCCCACCCCCCTTCCCTGCAAACCACCGTGCCCTTCTCAGGAGAGTCGTGAGAGGTCAAGCAAAAAGTTTAGCTGGGGAATCCTCATACCTGGTCAAAGCTTGGTCTGGGGCACCAGGAAGTCCCCTAGCCTCGGTTTCCTCTCCTGTGAACTAGATCCGGTCTTATCAGTCTATACCCTCATTGAAAAATCCCCTGGTGTAGAAATGGAGACAGGTGGCTGAGAAATAGGGCTGTCCAGACCCGCTTCCCAGGCAGCCGGCCAAGAGATGTGCCTTGCTGCCGCAGGATCTGTCAGGCACCCCTGTTGACTCCACGGGTCTACATGCGTCTGTCTACCTGGAGAATTGTCTCAGGCTGCAGCAGCCCAGGGCTCCCAGGAAGCTATCTATCCACTGGGAAACAATTAAGGCTGAAAAGCATTGCTGGGCTTTCCTAGAATATGATGCTACTGACGATCTAAAACTCTCCAGCACTGATTATATCCAAACAAGGCCTTTGCTGGCATTTTTCTTTGTCCTGGTGTCCAGAGAGAAGGGAGGAGTTTGTAGCCGAAGGATAACAAAGAGGTGCAGGGAGAAAAGCGAACTGTGAGTGTTCAGGTGCATGGGATTATGTTGGTGTATGTGTGTGCACACGCGTCCGTTCACAAGTGTGCCTGCGGAGATCTGAGAACAACCTTGTGTGTTCTTGCTCAGGTGCTGTCCGCCTTGATTTTCTGAGACAAGGTCTCTTATTTGACAAGAACTTAAGCAAGTAGGCTAGGCTGGTAGCCCAGTGGACCCCAGGGAATCCTCCTGTCTCCCCTGCCCGCCCAGTGCAGGGATTACAAATGTGTGCTTCATAGCTAATTATTGTGATTTTTTAAAACATGAATTCTGGCTCTCAAATTGAGGTCTTCTTTCCTGTAAAGCATGCACTTGACTGCCTGAGCCATCTCCCCAGATCCCCAAAACACATATTGAGAGAATAGATTGAAGATTATGAGGGTACGTAGGAGTACATTCTTCTAGAATTATCTGTGCATTTGTAACCTTTCTGTTGTACAGGAGATGCTGAAGGACACCACACACACACACACACACACACACACACACACACACACTTCCCCAGGTGAATGCCTATTCTCACAGCTCCTGTAGCTGGAGTCTGTGCATTCATGGAGGAGACTCTGCTTATGTTTTCCTGGGTGCAGGCTTAGCAATGGTCCATCCAAGGTCTCTTCTTCTACATCATCATGCTGGGACATTTACAAAGAGGGTCTGCTTGGGGCAGAGCCCAGCGACACACTGGCTACCTGCTGGCCTCCGAACTTTACAAACCTCGTCTGTCCTTCTACTACAAAACCAGCTCCGGGGACCGAAATCCAGCCCAGGAGATCTGATTTCTCAAAGGCTGTTTTGATCTTTTCACTTCAAAGAAAATTGTTTTAACACCCAAGCCCCAGTTTGGTGGCCTTAGACCTGGCCTGGTAGGCTGAATGGGGCCCATGGTCTTTTTTGTACATCCTGATGGGAAAGCCAGGATCCTAACTCAGGGCCTTCCAAGTTAGCCTTTGAATGTTCCAGTCCCCAGCATCCCCAGTGTCTTGCCTTCCCCTCTGCTGTCTCTGTTCCACTCAATTACCTGCTTCTAATGTCTCCCTTCTCCTTATTCCTCGTATGAAAATCCAGTCTTGGAATGAAACCAGTCTTAGCTTCAGAGATTATGTAAGAGTACCCCCTAACAGCTTCAGACACCCCCACCGCACTCAAGATGAAGTTCCTTTTCTAAGAGCCCCACCATATTTTGGGATGCTCTGCAGCTTCCTCTATTAGATTCCTATCCCATTTTCCACCCATGACACTCATGGAACAGTGAGGAATCCCTTCACAAAGACCAGCTTGTCTAGCGAGATGCCAAAACATGGTAGACGTTTGGTAGAACTTCCTCCAGGAGTTCTTTTCAGTGTCTTATGGTTTGCTGCAAGGGTTCAGGGACAATCCCACTTGATAGAAGAAGAGGAGGAGTGGACGAGGGAACAGAAAAGGACGTTCTACTTTCCACTTGCTGCCTGTCATGTCTCAGGTAGCCTGCACACCTGTCCCTGTCAACAGGAATTTTATCTTTCCCTGCTTTATAATTATATGCACACATACTGCATTGTAAATAATATTTTTAAGGGGCTGGGTATGTAGTTTAATTAGTAGAGTGCTTACCTAGCATGCATGAAGTCCTGGGTTCCATCTCCAGTAATATATAAAATAGGAGTGATGGTACACACCTGCAATCCCAATACTGGGGAGGTAGAGGCAGGAAGATCAGAAGGCCAAGGTCACCTTCAGGTACACTGAAAGTTCAAGGTCACCCTGAGCTAGATGAGCTGCCTCATAAATTTTATTTCTATAATGTATAAAATGCATTATATAAAACAACATATAATATTCATATAATATATAATAATAGGCTATATATGCACACATATAACTTTTAAAAAGTGGTTCTGTTTTAAGAATTTTGAAATCCTCAGCTGTTGACTTTTCATCCTGGTGAGTTCTAAAAGGGAGCCGATGCTGAGAACCTCTGATTCCGTCAAAGCGTCTGTTGCTCAGGGCACAATGGATTCCAGGGCTGGGGAGCTGGTCTAGCCAGCAAGATTCTTGCTTTGCAAGTATGAGAACCTGGATTTTATCTCTGGAGCCCATGCGAAAAACCTGCAGATGGTAGCTAGGTTAGCTTGGTCTATTTGTTGAGAAATTTCCAGCAGAGAAACCGTGTTTCCAAACAATGGAGTATTACTCAGCTGTTAAGAAAAATGAGATTATAAAACTGACAGGTGAGTTGATGGACCCAGAAATCATTACCCTGAGGTAACCCAGCCTCAGAAAGACAAATGTATCATGTTCTTCTCTCAATTGAGAATGTTGCTTTGAATCTGCAGACATGTATGTTTCATATGTGATACCCTTAGAGGTCACATCAGTAAAGGGTCATGGGGGACACTTTTAAGGAAGGGGAGACGGGGGCTGGAGAGATGGCTGAGTGGTTAGAGCACTGACTGGTCTTCCAGAGGACAAGGGTTCAATTCCCAGCACCCACATGGCGGCTCACAACTGTCTGTAACTTCTGTTCCTGGGCTTTGAGACCCTCACACAGACATATATGTAGGCAAAACACCAATACATATGAGTGCCCCCATAGAAACAGGCTTTGAACCTAGCTCATTTCCATTCTATGTACTTACCTACTGTTTTTACTCATCCTAACTTGATTCAGAATCTCTTTAAGAGTTCACTGGAAATGGTGTATCCATTTCTCCAGAAATAGAAGATCAAGTTTTCCTTGATCATCTATTTCGGCACATCACACGCCCTTCAGAGAGGCTTTTCCTACCTGCCCATCTCTAACCACAGCATGCCACAGGCTCCCGTCCTCCCACCACAGGTCACGCTCCCTCGGCAGCCTTGGCCTCTATGCCCTGACATCACAAGAACCTCACTGGGGCAGTTTCTCACCTCCACTTAACCAAGATACCTGGGATTCTGCATTTCAGATGCTCCCTGTGTTTCTTGTGTGTCTTTGTGTATATAAGTGTGTATGCATGTGTGCGCATATGCATGTATATGTATATATGTGTGTGTATATGTATGTGTGTGTACAGAGATGGGAGATTAATCGCAGGTATTTAAAATTAGTTTCTTACCTCTATCTGTCTGTCTGTCTAGTGTATGTCCAATTGCATGTAAATACGTGTGAAGGGCGGAAGACAGCAAATCAAGGTTATTGGGCTAAGTGCAAACACATTTATCCACTGAGCCATTTGGTCAGTCCTCGCCTTGTTTTTTGAGACAGAATCTCTTACTGACGTGGAATTTATTGATTTGGCTAGGCTTGCTAGCTAGGGGATCCAGAGATCTGTGTATTTCTACCTCCCCAGTTATGGGCTTAGAAGGTCACGCCCCTTCCCTCGCTTTCCTACACGGGCACTGGAGATCTAACTCCGGGTCTCACGCCTGCACGGCAAGCGCACTTTACCAATTGGGCCTTTCCCCAACTCTCTGGGTTTCATTCAAGACTGAGGTTTGAGACTTGGCTCCTGGGTGCTGGATTCAGAAGCAGCAGATACTCAGATCTGCCGCAGTCTCTCCCGGAGCTCTAGCCTGCCCCTCCCCCTTGCTCTGCCCCTCCAGATTCTGCTGTGGAGGTGAGGATCCTCCTGCCTCAGAACACGGGTGCACGGCCTTGGGAAGAGTCTGTGGCGGACTGGTGCTGTCTTAGTGAGTCAAAGGTCTCTGATGAGTGACTCATTGTCCTTCTGTCCCAATCACTTGGAATTCTGTCTGCGCTCCTAAACTCATTAGCATAATCTCTAGTAGGTTGACTACTGATTCTTTAAGTTTTCCATTGGCCTTCGATGGCCTACAGGGGGAAGCACATAGCTACATTTTAAATTATCGTCAGCCCAAAGAGCAATCAGGGTTCCCCGCCCTGTGGGAACCCTGATTGCTCTTTGGGCTGACGAGGGAGGAGGACTTGACTGGGGGAGGGGGGGAAATGGGAGGCGGCAGTGGGGAAGAGACAGAAATCTTTAATAAATAAATAAATAAATAAATAAATAGGTTTTTAAAGGTCTGCACACTGCTCACTATTCCACTCCTCAGACCTGCCAGCCTCAGGCACAGAGAGCAGGAGCGGTCAGGTCATCCTGTGGGTCCTGGAGCGGCATAAGCTACTTCCTCCCTCGGGCGGTCCTCTGGAGTGACCTCCTATCTTTTTAAGCAAGTCAGTGACTCTGCGTCTCAGAGTGTGAGCCAGGTCCTCAGGTGATAGACCAGGCGCCCCTGCCAGTGTCGTGTCAGAGGCTCCTGTTATCTCTCTGCCCTTCCCCCACCCCACACTACCTGACAATTCCGTCTGCTTCCTAGGACACTGTGGATTCAACGTCAGAAGCTTGACGAGTCTTAGTTCTGAGGGTTCAAGAATCTGAAATCAAGGTGCCGGCAGGAGAAAGACTTTCTTGGCTCTGCTTCCAGCCCCAGGTGTGTGGAGTGACTGTGCCATCCTTTAGCTGGTGGCTACGTCCCTACAGTCTCTGTCTGTTACCATGTGGCCTTTCCCCTGTGTGTTTCTACTCTGTCTCTTACTGTAAAGACGACCAGTTACAGCAGCTTCTGTGTGTTGTTCTGACCAAATGCTGTGGCCAATCTCCTAATGAAAGCATCTAAGAAGGAACAGCTTATGTGGGCTTCCAGCTTGAGGGAACCGTCCACTTAAGCAGGCTGTCATGGAGGAGTGGGCTGATCACATGGCCTGTGCAGTCAGGAAGCAGGGAGAGTTGAATGCTGGCGCGCAGCTTGCCGTCTCTATTTTCTCTTCAGTGTTAGACCTCCCCAGAGAATGGTGCCACCCGCGGTAAAGATGAGTCTTTCTGCCTCAACTAATCCCATCTAGAAATTTCCTCACAGACATACCCAGGGGTTTTCAAGGTGATTCTAGATCCTGTCAAGTTAATACATACTATTGACCGCCATACCAGCCATACTGGGTTTGGTGTGTCCAGCCACAGTTTCACCTAACCCTAAATAATTACATCTGTCACCAACCTATTTCCAAATAAGGTTTCCATGCTGGGGAGTCAGGACTTTAAAGTGTTTTCTTTGGGATGGGGACATAATTTAGGCATAACGTACCCCCTCCTTTGATTTTGTTTCAGTCACATAGAGAGTTCTCAGACTTAAGAAGTAAAAATAATATCGGTTACCCAGCTAAACTTGAAATTCAAATAAACAGAATTATCCTATATGTTTAGATAATTGATGTCCCAACTGTTCCATGGACTATCTATTTAATATCTGGAACATAGTTATACTATTAAAGTATTGACTAGCTAAAATTTGACTTTAAGTCAGTACCCTAGTTAGGGTTACTATTGCTATGATGAAACACCATGACCAAAACCAAACCGGGGTGAAAAGGGTTTATTTGGTTTGCACCTCCACACTGTAGTCCATCACTGAAGGAAATCGGGGCAGGAACTCAAGCAGGGGTGGAACCTGGAGGCAGGAGCTGATGCAGGGGCTGAGGAGGGATGCTACTTACTGCCTTGCTCCTCATGGCTCAGTCTGCTTTCCTGTAGGTCTTTTGGCTCCAGGCCCTCACCCCAGCTTTCCACAGGTACCTCTGCATGCCGGTTCTCAGTAGAAGAAAATCTTAAAGCCACTTTACCACTGAAACTCAGTAGCCGGGATTTTCCAATTTTGTGCCCCTACGAGTGTTCCATGTAAGTAAGGGCAGGGACTTTCTGTTCATGAGATATGATTTTCCTGTCTCTGAGGATCACCTGCAGGGAGCCAGCGCTGTCTCCTGTGTTGCTCTTTGCATAGGCCATTACAGGAGGAAGGGGCCTTCTAACTTCCTTGGTGTTTGTTGTCCTTTTTTTTTTTCCCCTTTGAGGCAGGAATTCATGTAGCCTAGGTTTGCCTTGAATTCACCAAATAATCAAGAGTGATCTGGAACTGATCCTTCTGTCTCTGCTTTCTGAGTGCTGGGATTCCAGGCGTGCATCAATCCACCGAGCTAGGAATGGAGCCCAGAGCTTTGTGCGTGCGAGGTGAGTGTTCCACCAGTGGGAGGCCAGCCTCAGTGCTGGTCTGCGTTATTACAGGGCTGCTCTTTTTCTTCTGCACACGCTTTGTGTTTCTACAAGACATTGGAGGTTGGGAGGGTTTCCGGTCTCCCTTTGTTGTTGGCTTGTTCTTATGTTGATGTTGACGCTTCACGTTTTCTACATCCCAGGGCCCTCGTCTCCCTTTAGGTTAGGCTGAGAAATACCGCGACACCTTCCTCGTGACCCTCAGGCATGAAAAGAATCGAGAGTGTGTAGGATCTGGCATTCCATAGTCCACGGAAAAACCAACACTAATTCGTTTGCTCTCAACTTTAAATGCAGTCCTTACACAAAAGGATCCTCCGTGAGGAATTGCTTCATCGTTGGTACTCAGTCAAGTGCAACAAATCCGAGTCCCCTTGGAGAAAAACCCCAGAGAGGTTTTCTTACCTGAACAACAGACTTCAAATAACATCTTTTCATTTTTATTTCACAGAACGGGGTTCTTTTATCTCTATTTGTCTCTGATCTTGAATTGCTTACTCAAAAGCCACAGAACAAACTCATTTAAATATCTAACTCCTACTTTCGACATTCTTTAGAAAAACAACAATAGATGATTGGACCAGTTGGCTTCCATGCAATTGTTACCTCTTATCTACATGTAAGCACCAAACAATATTTAAGAGGGTTTGTTTAGTTGTTTTAAACAGGGTCTCCCGCAGTCCAGGCTGACTTCAAACTTTCTATCTGTAGCTGTGAATAGCCTTGAACTTTTGATCTTCTTGCCTCCACTCTCCAAGTTCTCAGCTTCTTTTCTCATTTCTTTTCTGGGACTGGTGCCTATATTCATGGCGGGCTTTCCCATCTCAATGAGCTCAGTCTAGAAACTCCCTTGCAGATATGCCCAGAGGGTTGTTTCTATGATGATTCTAAATCTCATCAAGTTGACAGTCAAGATTAACCATCAGAGAAGCCAGGGTTGAGACCCCGGCTCTGACCATCGTCTTCGGAAGGAGTGGCATCTGATGCCTCCAGGAGTCCTTTGTGCCTGAGGTGCTTTGAGGCGGCTGACTCTGGGCTGGTGTCAGGCCATCAATTAGGCAGAAGGAGAGAGGAAGTGAGGAGACAGTGATGAGGTCAGTAATTGCACACCACAGTGCAGCTGACCCTGAGAGCAGGTGGTGGAAGAGAGTGACATCGTGGCCTCGGTCACTTGGGATTCATCTTCACCCCCGTGTTTAGGCCCGAGGGGGAGCTCACTGATCTGGAAGAGGCTGCCTGTACTGTTCTGTTAACAATAAGGATAAAACCAGGAGTGGTGGCTCTGCTCCCTTGTAATCCCAGCACTCAGGAGGTGGAGGCTGGAGGATCAGAAGTTCAAGGCCAGCCTGGGATACGTGAGACCTCATCTTGGGAAAGAAAAGGATAATGCGTAAGTAATGTGCTTAATACAGAAGGATATTTTCTTTCCATCCAGCTGTCTGGGCTGCAGAGTGCTCGCTTTAGAAACATAAGGAAATGAACTTGACTCCCAGGACTCGCGAAAGAAAAGCCAGGTGTGGTGGTGGTGTGTGCTTGTCGGCTCGGTGGCCAACTTAATCTACCTGGGGAGTCAGTGAGAGACTCTGTCTCAAAAAATAAGGTAGATGGCATTTGATATGGCAATTGAGGTTGTCATCCAGCCTCCACATGTACATACACACACAGACAGACACGTGCACTTGTGCACTTGTACCCACATGCGCATGCATAACTACACACATGAATATGCGCACACACAGATTGCTGTTATTATTGAAACTTACAACTCATGCGATGTAATATACAGTTGCATGCATTTTATTATCTATTTCCTGCTTCTGTGGCACTGGCTTGTTGTTAAGTCCCTTGCAGTTGTCTCTTATTTATTTATTTAAAATTTTTATTTTATATTGTGTGTGTGTGTGTATGTGTGTGATTTGGAGGATGTGTGTAGGTGAGTGCAGGCACCTGCAGAGACCAGAGGCATTGTGTTGGATCCCCTGGAGCTAGAGTTGCAGGTGGTTGTGAGCTGCCTGATGAGACTTGAACTCTGGTCCTCTGAAAGAGCAGTAAGTGCTCTTAAGCACCAAGACCTCCAGTCCCTCATTCCTTTACTTATTTTGATGGGCATGTGTGTGATACTCAGAGGACAACCTGGAGCTGGCTCTCTCCTTCCACCGTGTATGTCCCAGGGATCAAACTCAGGTCATCAGGCTTAGTCACTGGGCTCACCCACTGAGCTGTCTTAGTGGCCCATGTTTTTTTTCCTAATAACTTTCCAGAGGTAGTGATTCTTACAGAGAAACCCACTATTGTGAATATAACAGCTGTATAAATTTTAAAAAGAAATCTGATCTGGAGACTTTGATGAGAATTCTCTCATCCTACCCACCCCATAGCATACAGGGGGAAAATGTTTTGTGGTTTTTGTATAAACCAGCAGGAAGAAATGAAAGTTTTTAGCATGAAGGTGGTGGATAATTGACATGTTGGGGGTTTGGATTCTTACCTGCATTAGATTACGTATAACTTTAGATAGTATAGAAACACACTCTATCTTCTGTCTATGTAGAACTCCAAGGAGGTCAGGATCTGGTTGCACCAAGTTCAGTGTTCTAGTATGAGTTCGGTGTCTGATGCTTCTGCAGCTAGGAGGAGGAAGAAGTATTCTGTTGCTCTGGAGATAAGCCCTCCTCACCATGAGCTAAACTACGGCAGCTCACAGACTGAGTATCTCCGCCCTTTCCACATTGTACCAGCAATTCCCAGTTTCCCCCAAAGACGTGGTTCACACTTCCTGCTCTGTGTCTAAGTCTCTCTATCCAGGGACCCCTATTTACTTGGGGTCCAATGTGGTGTGGGAGGATCCAGGAGCTGTGCTGAGCACCTTGGCCTGAAGTGTCACTGGACGGGCAGGGAGCCAGGCAGATACTCCCCCACGCTAATGCTTCTTCATTTGAGCCTGATGCCTAGGAGGCACTGAGGTCTTGAGAGAAGCATCTTCCTTTTTTTTTTTTTTTTTTTTGACATTCCCTTCTTTGAAGACCAAGGGGCTTGACGGAAGGTTTCAAGTGAAAAGATAAAATATCCCATCCCCCTAAGGTGCCAATTATCCACCCCCTTCATGCTAACAACTTTCATTTCTGGTTTAGACAAAAGCAATGAGCTTTTCTTTCTCAGTGTGCTATGGGGTGGGTGGGATGGGATATGGGCTTTCATTTGCCAGATCAGACTTCTTTTCCTTTAAATTGGCATATATTAACCACACACAGCAGTGTCTGTTTTTGTGCTTGTCCATGCTGCATTTTGATCATATTCTCCCCATTACCGTCTCTTATCATCCTCCTACTTCTGTTGCTGGCCAAACCCCATTCTTCATCTCAACTAGTCCACCCCCTTTTATTGCCACCCAGTGAGTTTAATTAAAACTACTCAGAGAAACATAGGCAACTTGCCAGTGGCTACATCCCTAAAGAGAATGTCTCTCCCCAGATCAAACTTGACAACAAATAAAAGTTAAACACATTGTCTTTTTTTTTTTTTTTTTGGCGGAAAACTGGCCATCCCTTAAAATCTTAGACAGTCCGTCAGCCAGAATATCCCTCTTCTTTTGACCTTGTTTACAGATTTTTATGAGGAGTACATCCTCACAACACTGAAGTGTGGTCCCTGGAGCAATCACTTTCTTGACAGTATTTCTACCAGCTAAGGATGCTGGTCATGCATTCCCGAACACAGAGGCTTTAGAATGAGATGCCGCTCGTGGGAGAGAGGGATAGGGATATATTTTCTAAAGAACACTCATCTCCTTTGGAAATAAGGCAATTTGGCTTTCTACCTGGGCTCTGAATGAGATAATGTTCCAGGCCGGGGAGACGGGGAATGAAAGCGGCATTTGTGAAGTGCTGCTGGCAGCGTTTTCATTTTTACCCCGAGCCAGGCATATATTTATCTGCATTGTCCATGTGCGGGTGTTGTTTACAAGGAGGCAGAAAAGCTTAGTCAGCTCTCTTGGCTGCAGAAACACCTCTCCCTTATCAGGAGTCCAAACCCACTTGGAGAGTCCAAATTAGTCCCTGCTTACTGCTTTAGTGTGTGTGTTCATTTGGGTGCACATTTCCAAGCCTATGTGTGTGCATGCGGAGGGCAGAGGTCATTGGGGGGCATCTTCTTCAATCACTCCCTACATTATTTACTTTGTATTTGTTTCATTTGAGTATGTGTGTGATATAAGTGTGTATGTGTATGCATGTCCATTAGGTATGTGAGTGCATGTGAATTTGTGGATTCACACGTATGCACACACAGACACACATGCACACACACACACATTGGTGCAGAGGTCTGAAGTTGACATCAAATAACCTTGATCATGTTCTACTTTCTTTATTAAGGCAGGGTTTCTCACTAAGCTAGCCAGCTTACTCCAGGTATCCCCCTTCTCTATTTTTGGAGTACTAGCATGGCAGATGCATGCTATGTTTTCTCTGCTTTAATGTGAGTTTGGGGGATCCAGACTCTTATCCTTACTATTATTGTGCAACCAGAGCTTTATCCATCCAGCCATCTCCTTAGCTCCACCTTAATTTTTGTGACTTAGCATAGGGCTTTCTGATTGGGCTAGACTGGCCGGCCAGTAGACTCCAAGGATCTCCACACCAGGTCTGGAGTTGCAGACAAGCGCAGCCGTGTTTATATATCTCTGTGGGTGATAAAGCTCAGCTACTGAGCCATTCCTTCTAGTACCTCACTACTTTTGAATTGCTAGCATTTGGCGTGCAAGGTGGAAATATCAGGTGTCAGCTACTATGCGGTTGTGATGTCACTGTACACACACTGGGTTTCAGTTGTCTGGAACTGAGAATGGCAGAAGAGCCTATCCTTTGAGGACTTCTCTTATCAGCTTTTTTTTTTAGGTCAAACAGAAGTGGGCATTGAAATTTGGAGATGGGTTGACAGTGGTTTTTACTGCTTCACTGTGGACAATAACGGAGAACATGCATTATTCCCCACCTAAGGTTTCATCTTTCCGGTGATCAGTCTTAACTGGCAGGCTAAAGCTTAAAGCCTAGAGCCCCATTGCTCTCAGAATGCCACTCACACACGCTGGAAAGGGCATAAGAAGGAACTTGAAATCTTCCCTTGCGCTTTTCAGCCAGACTAGCCCAGGCTTTTCAGAAGGCGGTACTTAGTAGGAAGAATGCGATTGGAAGGAAAACACGAAGTCAAAAGGCAAGGAGGGACTTTTGAGGTGGCAGCAAGGCTGCGATCTCAGCTGAGAGCTGGCAAATCCTCGGCAACCAGATAGCAACGCTCCTCATTTATGAACAGCCAACAAAGCCACGGCAGGTGACTGGGGCTGATGCTACGGAGGCCTCTCAGATGGCCAGGCCCCTGCAACCTTATTCAGCACCTCATTAAAGCAATTTCGGAATCAATTCCAGATTTGACAAGCCGTCAGTGCATTGTTGCTTCTCGATGATGGGAGTGACATGTTAACAGCAATTAGACTTCCGTGCGCACACGTGGGAGCCCGTTCAGCATATTCTTTATTAGAAGAGCCCAAAATGCGTTATTATAATCATCTAACCTGGGGTCATGGACACATGCTCTGTGATCTCTGTCTCTGTCACAGTCCCCTCAGTGAAATCCCGTCTATTGTCCATAGAGATTAAAAGGAAGTGCTTACCCCAGATGCGATATTGGAAAATCAAAGGTCAGAGTACAGCTCATGGTAGCCTCCGTGGTTTTTAATACGAATGATGGAAGCAATCAGATTAGCATGAAGGGATATTGCTTCTTCTAACAGATGGAGTGGGATTCTTATGCAAATGACGAGGACAGGCTAAATAATTTGTTGGTAGCTTTCTGGGGCCAGCAGTGGGATGTTCTTGCTGCAGCTGGTTTGTGCTCAGACAAGGTAATGGCGGAGGCTGGGCTCTGTAACCCTTCATAGCATGGAAGCTCTCTCTCTCTCTCTCTCTCTCTCTCTCTCTCTCTCTCTCTCTCGCCTTTGCCTGTGAAGGACAAAGGACAACCTCAGTTGTTGTTTCTCAGGCACCATCTACCTTGGTTTTGGACCAAGTCTACTCTCATTGGTCCGAAACTCACAAAGCTAATTACATCGGATGTCTAGTAAGCTCCAGGGGATCTGCCTGTCTCTACCTCTCCAGAGATGGGATGACAAGCGTGTAGTAGCATGTCTGCATTTTTAAAAAACTATCTACTCTGAGGATTGAACTCACGTCCTGATGATTTCATAGCAAGCAGTTCACTGACTGAGCCCTCTCTCCAGCCCAGCTCCTTTATTACAATCAATCTCCTCTGTCTGGAGTGGGTCTCTCTGTAGCCAGCCCTACTTGGGTGACGGGGTTCTCAGTGGGCGTTGTTTTCCTTCCTCTTCTGCAATTGTATAATGCCGTCTGAGTTTTCCAAGACTCAATCAGCCAGTGACATCCAAATAAGTCTTAACTCTTACTGGATCCCGTTTCTTTCCGGGCTATCCCAATGGAGTGTCTCGTGCTTTTGGCCAGGTCTCTCCTGGTCGCTTGTTTGGGTTTCTATTTGAATGGGGGAGAACACAAAGACAGCTCTCTACCACAAGCTGCATCCGCAGTCTGAGATGCGTGTCATGTGCCCAGTAGGCAAGCATTTTCCCACTGAGCTGTACCCTCAGTCTTAGATGGCTGCACTTTGTGAGTGGCTTGATGCTTAGTGACAAGTGGGGCTAATGCTAATCTTATAATAAGCCTTTAAGAGAGGACTTAAAGAATTTTTTAAAAGAATGATTTATTTTGCTTTATGTATCTGGGTGTTTTGCCTGCACTTATGTAAGTATATCACACATGTAAATGGTGTCCATAGAGGTCAGAAGACAGCATAGGATTCTGTAACTGGCGTTGCAGAAGGTGGTAGACCACTATGCAGGTGCTGAAACTCAAACCTGAGTCTTATGCAAGAACACAAGTACTATTCTTCATTGACCTATCTCTCTAGCCCCATGAGGACTTTTCCTAAAATTCCAGCTTTGATGGCAGGGAGCCAGTAGTGCGTCCGGGATTGGTTGCTCTGGATCTCCTGGCTGGTAGGTGGGCTATTTTGGATCCCTCTTGGCTAACCGATGTCCTATTCCATCTCTTCAACAAGAACTGATGCCACTCAATGGGGATATATTACACTCCAACGCTGTGAACTCTTCAAGAATATGAATTCAAAGATGTGAATTCTTTAAGAGCAAATGTTAGCTGGCTAACTGAAAGAATGAGCCACCAAATTCAAGGTTACCTAGAAATTCATATCCCCAGGATTATGGATTTGTATATATTGGCCAGCCTATCTAAATTTATTCTATTATTACGATGTGAACATCTAGGCTCAAGTGTGCCACGATGTATATGGCATGTGGAGGTCATGGAAACTCTAGGGCTGGAACTTAGGTAACCAGGCTCTCATGGAAAGCTCTTTTACCTGATGAGCTATTTCACTTGCCCTGAGCAGCCTATTGGAACATGGAAATAGGCCTGGCAAGATGGTTCAATGGGTAAAGATTGTAGTACCAGCATGGCGACTTGAATTTTATCCTTCATAAAAGTGGAAGATGATAACCAGCTTCATAAAGCTCCTATTACCTCCACATACATGCCATGGCATATATGTTCTCCCTCCATATCACTAAATAAATAAAAGTTTCAAAAGGTAGTATGTCTTTAAAAAGAAAAGCAGAAATAGCCCTCAACATGGCTGTCCACTCCCACCTTCTTTCTGCTTCTCTACAATGCTAACCACGGCTGACATATTTATTATATCTGCCTAACTCTCTCACTAGGAAATAGATCCATGGAGGTAAGAATATTTGAACATTGTATCTTCAGAAGACATTTATAACAGAGCCCCTGCTAAATGTGGTCTAGATAATTGTTGAATCGGATAAAAAGCATCTTAGGCACAAGTGAGATAAATGACGTATTTTTATCCCGTCTGAGAAATACAAGCACTGATTTATGGGTGCCAATGGTGGGACATACAACATTTCAAAACTGGAAAGGTCTGCAGGGCTCATTTAGAGTCACCTGATTTTCAGAACAAGTCATTTTGGTAGTATAAAACTGGTGGCAGAACCAGAACTAAAATTCTTTATCTGGGAATCGTCTCAACTTATTTCCCAATCACTTAGTATGAGTGCATCTAGGGCTGTCTTTTCCCACTCAGCTTTCTGTCAAACCCACCACCAGGCTGCTGTGTTCTTTGTTCCCACTTAGGCTGCATTCTGGCTGGCCAGCTATGGGGCTTTAACTTCCCCTGTTGTTTAAGGGGAAAGGTATGTGGTGGGGAAGGGAATTAGCTAGCCGCGGCTTTTGAAGCAGTCTGGAGTCTGCCTCTTTAATGGCTTCCTTTAAGCATTTGTTTCTAAAGCCAGGTCATCAAAGACAAGCACCATCTGCAATTTCCCAGCTCTTCATCTAGTTGGGAAAGCCTGGTGCACACCCTCAAGACACCATTTGGTACCTTCACTGGGTTCAGATAAGCAGGAAGTGGCCTCTTGGGAAGAAAAACAAGCAAATCTGCAGATGATGTGCTCAGGGTTTACATTTTGCTTATTGATTAAAAGTAGTTTTATTATTAAGTTCCAAAGAGTGACAAGGACAATTATAGATAAATAAAGAAACACTTTCATTTTTTAAAAAAATTATCAACACATTAATAGTACATAAAAATGGTTTTCCATTATGATCAATAGCTATAAATAGAGATTATTCCCTCTTTCATTTTGAGACAAGGTCTTATGTATCCCAGGCTGACTTTGAACTTCAGATCCTTCTGCCCCTACATCTCAAATGCTGGGATTACAGGCGTTTGATTATGTGTGGCTCAGGAGGGAGCCGGGGCTTCTGCAAGCTAAGCAGTCACCTTAGCCACATCCCCAACCCTTGATTGAGATTTTTTTTATAGGATTAAATTTAACTTCAACAGTAAATGACTGCTCCCCAGGAAGACTCAAAGATAAACCAGGCAACTAAACTCTAAATGTTCACCATCTGATTTTTCTTTCGTCTCTATGGATTCACCTAGCAATTAAACAATCAATAGTTGTCCTGTAAGTGGTGAGTGAACCCATGCATTCTATGACCTGGAAAACCTACCATTACATGAGTGGAAGTGTGAAATGATTTGGAAATGATCGGGGCCATCAAGTGCACACTCATGGGCGGGTAAGGATGCTTCCTCCCTTTGACACATTTGGGGAGGTCCCGCTCTGGGAATGCTTGGTAAATCTTCAGGCTGGGACTTGGCTCCACATGCAGGACATTCTACATGGGATCTGGGGACGTCTGCAGTAGCGACTTCTTCCAGGTTGTGAGACACTAAGATCTGCTCAGTACAAATTCTATCACTGGCGACTGGGAAAGGTAACTCATTTGATAACACACTTGCCATGCAAGAAGGGCAAACCTGTGTTTGAAATTCAGTCAGCACCCATGGATAAAGCTAGGCATGTGTGTTTATAATCCCACTGCTGGAGAGGCTGAAAAATGGGCTCGTTGGGGTCACTGGCTAGCCAGCACAATATACTTGGGGTTCCCAGTGAAAGATTCTGTCCCAAGAAACTAGGTGGAATTGGCCAATTTTGATCAAAATCTGTCTGGATGCAATTTCTGCACAGGTCTCTAAATACTAGCGATATCAATATATAAAAGTCAGAAATTACTTCAATAAAGGAACACCAAGATTTAATCTAAAAAATAAAGGAATAGGCAGATCTAATTAAACAATAAAAGAACCTGAAGATTTAATTAGAAAAATCTCAAGGTAGGCAGCTCTTGAGAAAAGAGACCTCAGGTTGACCTTTAACCTCTACATGCAAGCCTGTGCCCACATAACACGTACATGAACATGGACATAGGCCTGCCCATGTATACCTGAACACGTGTGTATATACAATTACATAATTCATTTCCAGGGTGTGAGACTAGATGTGGGCCAGTGTGTGGAGTGGTCTGCTAAGTCGGCTGCTCGGGGCAAAGATGGATGGGTATCCTCAAGACCTCCCTGCAGGAAGAAGCTTCAGCAAAGACAAATGTTTGTGCCTTAGGCCTTGGGGAACTAGAGAGTTTCTACCCCTCTGATGTCAGTGTGGACTGACTTTGTCCAGGAGAGGGCAACTCTTGCTTCTGTCTGTCTTCTCCCAGAACTGGGATTACACGCATGCACCACACTGAGATTTTTTATTTTTAATGTGGATTCCTGGGATTGAACTCAGGGCCTCATGCTTACACAGGGAGCTCTTGTCTAACTAAGTCCTTTCCCCAGTCTGTGGGCTTTTTATTTGCTTGAAATTTTTACCGGGTTAGCAAATGTTTAAAAATGACTTTAGCAATTGTACTCATGGTGATCAGTTGGTGTCACGAATGAACACTGTGTTAACATATTTTATTTATTTGATGCTTTTTAGATCTTTCAAAAGCACCCTTGAATACATTCTCTTCCTGAAACACATCTATGCAGAGATTACTAGCCCTGTTTTAAAGACAAGGCCATGGACGCTCAGGTAAGTGAATTAGATGCTAGGATTTGCAGGCAGGAGCCGTTTTCTCTTCTTTTCCTTCTGTCCTATTTCATCTTCCTTCAGGAGATTGAGGTGCACAGATGCTGCCAGGGTGTTGCATTTAAGAGACCATACATAAGGGAACCCCTTAGGGCTCCTGAGCAGCATGGGGTGTCATCATGCCGCCCCAGGATTGGAAATCCCCCTGTTCTACAGACCGCCAGCCAATACTGTTTCTTCCCTGAGAAGTTCTGACTCTGAGTCTCCTGGTATGGTGTGACAAACCACAGGCCCATGTTTTCAGACAACAATTGTGGCCACAGAAGTTCCCCAAAATAGTTGGTAAACCTTTGTCGAATCTGTTCTGACGCCGTGTGGGCAGCTGGGTTTCACCGGGAGGGCACTGAAAGTACCAGCCTCAGACAGTCCAAATCCAGAGCCTGGGGATCCCCACGTCTTCCTTCCCTCCCTCGTGCATGGTTCATAGCACCCCCATGACTAGTAGGATCTGATGAAATGCTGACATTTATACTTGCTGTTCTAGCTGCACGCTTTGCAACTTTGAAATATGTTCCTTTTTTTTCATTTTAATGTTCCTGTAA